CTGGTTAGCGGGTATCCTGAATACTTCAGTGTATGTCACAACAAAGATGAATTTCCCCTTGAAAAGACAGTTTCTGTACCAAAGAAAGCTGTTTCTATTAAACTACCATTCAAGGATGATCAAATCATACAACTGACATCTCAGAGGCTTCAGTCAGCTATCAAGTGCATATTCTACGCCTCCTGCCTTCTCCCTACATCACGAACATTTTCAATTCTTCTACCTAAGATTAAAATGGCGAAATTCTTTCGACTCTACTTCACACGATATCTACAAGTTCACCTACAGTTTGTGGGGAAGCATATGTGAATAGAACTAACAGAATATTATCGGAAATAACATATCATATGAAAAATCCAGTTGTACTTAATCTGAATAAAAGTTCATTATAATCCATTACAAAGCAATTATTAAGGTCAGGTCAAAAAGAAACCGGTATTTATGAATATTTCATAATTATTTCAACATAACTTCAATTCAGTGGTTATCAAAAGTGATGGGAACACATTTCAAGAATAAATCACATGTATGCCAGAATAAGTGTACAGAAGATAAATGGACTTCAGCCTTCACCTGAAAAAGTTTACCTGACCCAAAAGAATACGATTGGCTATTAATATGCACTTTTATGTTACATAATTATTTTCAAGTATTGGTTTTGTAGGGATTTTGTTTGACTGGCCCTATTCAGTTAGGTAACTACCTGGGGTTTCCAGTAGGAAGCCGTGACCAGTAGGATACAGCAGGTTGAAGATGAGGACAGTTACTCATCGAAGACATTGCGAAGTGGTTGCGCTATGTCATGAATTAGAAGTTGGAATTCATGGGCTGCCCATTGGATCAGGTGTCAGTGGCTAAATGGTCCACGAGGTAGCTCGCTTTGTTAACAGAAGGTCCTGGGTTCGAACCCTAGTTGTGGGTGCGTACCTTTGAAGAGTCCCAAACTAGGACGAAACAGCTGCCCAGTACTTCCAATGATTCTCTAACTGATGTCAGCTCATAATGAAATCCTCCAACCAATATAATTGCTTGTTAAAAACCTTTTTATTTTACTATTTTCAGTCATACTAGTATTAAAGCAACCATAAAGAAACTTTGAAATGATATCGCGTCTCAATATTTGTCTCCTTAATGCCTTACTGAAAACCAATTTGTCAGCCAGACTACTTCGGAGGAGTAAAGATGTTTACTGACTGAATAATTCTTTTACAAACAGACTGAAGTTTGAAAAGAACATTCTTCTCAGCAACGCTAAGAATAGTGTTCTCCAGCCGCCCATAGATCTGCAGATGCCTTTAGCACAAGATATCGCATCTGGCCCCTTCAATGTGCTTATATCAGTTCACCTGTTGCTGTGGAGCCAACCAGGTACATTGATCGTTCAACGTGTATCCTGTCCAAAAGGATTCAAGAACACGATTTCGCATTGCTATAAAAAAGTAATAGTGGCTGTATGAGGGGTGCGATAATCGAACATCTCGTTAACACTGGTCATTCAATCTCAACAAACGACTCGTCCTTCAAAGTGATCTACAAAATGAGGAATAACCTGCCAAAGGCGATATGCTTTCGTCTCGTGACTGCATTGCTGAAGCCTTAGCCATTGAGTTGGGGAAGTCAGAGTTATTTATACAAAAGAAATTCATCCAACCACTTCTACTATCATGGTAACAACCGTGTTGACTTCTACTGACCTGATGTTTGTGTGCTTATTTTTCTCTCTTCTAACTCCTTTTAACATTAGTAATTTTAAAAACTCTTATACAATGCCACATTTTCCTTTGTTTCTATGTGCATCCTAATCACAACTCACTCGTAATTGTACAACACTTATTCAACTTCTTTTATGTGTTCACAGACATGTTTTTTGACAATGCATCACAACTACACTCTTACCAATCTTCATCCATACCACCCTGGTTACAGTTTGATTACCCATCACATTTTTGACATGCCTTTACAACAATAACGTAACGTACACAGACATGCAAAAATAAGTATACATAATTGCGATTGAGTACAGGTAATCGAATGAATGTGCATCGGTGGCACAGCGGTTAGGACGCTCGCCGACCATGCACATGGTCCGGGGTTCGATCCCCGGCCGACGCACTCCTTTACCTCACTAAGCCAGGAATAATGCTGGTGAAGAGGAAGGGTTGTGCATGAGGCTAGCAAACTCATCCTGTAAAATAATAAACACTGCTACAGAAACTTCAAGCCTCTAGCTTGAAGCCCTATGTTCCACTAGGAACGTGAAGGAATAAAAAAAAATTGAATGAATTTACCGCGGGAAAAGGACTCTTAGCTCAATTAATTTTTTTGTTTTCATTAATGTCTGGATAGGGATTATTCATGAGTGAAGTTTGAAGCTCAAACATTAACTTGTATTCGCATGTTCAACACTGATATCAGGTCAGCGCTTTCATATACTTCAGAGACTTAATATAGGCATCAGAAATAAAATTTAAGCACGTTGAAGACCTTTAACTTCAAATACCTTCTCCGGTTCAATATTAAAGACCATAAGACCAGCTAGAAAATATAAGAGGTAAGGAACTGTAGCAATGAACCAACTAACAGATATGCAGAAGGGAAAGGAGATGGATTGGACATACACACTGGGGAAACTGTTGAATGACATCAAGCTCCAAGCCCTCAAGTAGGACTTGAATAGGAAATGAGCAGCCAGTGGGGCATGGGTTCTAGAGTGATACGGAGGAGATTGTGTAAGGGAGAGATGAAAGCTTATGAGAAATAGCGGAGCTAGCTAAAATAGACTGTAGGGAGCAGGACGAAGTGACGATAAGCTCCGGCTGATGCCCTATGTTCTACACAGAACCCATGTGATGTTATTTTATATTGTCTCAACTGGATAGTTTAATTCCCAGCTTAGCGTTGAGGATTTTTATCAGAGGGATAGTAAAAGTTTCAAAATTATACCATCCGAGATTTGAAGAACACCTAGAAGAACAACAGGGACAGCAAACATTTCTATTTCACCAACAGATCTTACCAGTCATTTGTATATGGAGTTTATTTTTCGGCCATAAAGCCTTCTCCAAGTGGTATTACTTCAACAATATTTAGTGTTTCATATTTTCCTTATTTTGGTTACAGGATTTCATCATGAGCTGATACAGGTTAGAGAACCATTGAAAAACCATCTGGGAGTACTGGACAGCAGTTTCGTCAACCTCGTTTGTGGCTCCTCAGTAGTACACACCCACTTGGGTTCGAATCCAGGACCTTCCTGTTACAAAGCGAACTCGTAGACCATTAAGCCACTGGGACTCGATCCAGTGGCCAGTCCATGAATTCTAACTTCTGTCGATGTCTTCGGCGAGTATTTGTCCTCACACCCGACCTGCTGTACCCTACTGGTCACGACTTCTCCAATGAGTGAACACTGTTGAAGAGTCCCAAACTAGGACGAAACAGCTGTCCAGTACTCCCAGGTTTTCCAATGGTTATCTAACCGATGTCAGCTCATGATGAAATCCTGTAACAAATCAATCAAATCCCTACAAACCAATACTTGAATTTCCTTATTTTATCGATTCATAAAGTGAGTTTCGTTCTAAACAGCCAGTGTCCCCTAGTCACTTATTTAGTCTGATAATTTAATTCATATACGAAGATAAATCACATTCAAGTGACTGAATGATAATGATTGGATAGTCTAATTTTTTATCTATACAAGAGAACAAGACTGATAAACCTCGATTGGTGTGAAAGATAACTTGACGAATAGAACTCAGTCTGCCTCAACAGCAATGATTAGTTGTTGAATTAGTTACTACAAAGCATATATATTTTCTAGAGAGGTCAGTCACTTGGCCAGCATAGCTCAGTGGTAACTTCTCTGACTGCAGTATTGAGTGACTCAGGTTTGAATCGCGGAAGGGACATGAGTTTCTTCAAGATTGTACAAAAGGTACAAAAAGCACGAAACGTAGGTTCAAAGCCTCCTACCAATTGTACCATGATGGTGAGTCACCTAGCATGATAGTATCATAGCAGACATGACTGATAGAACTGTGTGTGCATAAAACGAATGGCTAGACGCATGGCACCAGTTACTTCACTAATTAATTCAGAATACCTCATCGTACTGCTACTATACGGAACAGAGACTTGGCCAGCGCGTCATGAAGGCCATTTCGAACAAACTACACACCTTCATCAACAGCTGTCTTCGCTCAATACTCAAGATCAAATGTCCGGCCAGAAAAGATCAGTAACATGAAGGCATCTCTGGCAATGAACGAACCAACCAACCCATCAGGAAGCAATTGTACAACAAATATACAGGAAGAAAGGGAGTTGGATTGACCATCAAGTGAGTGACTTCACTCGCCAGGCCATCGCTCGAGTGGAACCCTGCCGAATGAGGAGCGGCGAGTTGGTGGTGAGTACGAGGGTGACATGGAGGAGGAGGTCATGTGAAGAGGACATGAAAGCATGTGGGAAGACATGGAGCCAGGTGAGAACGCTCTCAGAGAACCGAATGGAATGGAGACGTGTGGATGAAGCCCTATGTTCTTCAGACTACCTAATAATAATAATAATAAATTCTACTTTGTACTGTTAGGGGATAATATATGCATATTACTTTCTCTAAAATGTCTGTTCACTATCTATCTATCTATCTTACCCTGTCTCCATTTTTATCCCTAATCATGTACGATATGTACTCATCCATAGTATTTGACTGTCTATGTTATATATATACAACAAAGAAAAGAAGGCTAAGAAACCGATTGTTACATTATTAACATTATTGAAATATTGAATAAAAGAGCAAAAAATACCCAAGTACATATAGACACCATAATCATCATTGCAGAGAGTATTTGAGAGACAATGACAGAGACAGAGAGATAGATAGATAGATAGAGAGAGAGGGAGAGTGTATGCTTCATGAGAAGAGGACAAAAGATTAAAGGGGGAGGGCGGAAAGGTGAATAGCTTACTGGTTAACATTAATATAGACTTACTTTTAGGTTTACAATAGTCTCAAAGTCTTCTTTTGTTGGTGAACCTAATACTTGTAGTATTAAATTCAATTGATCAATATCTATTGTTATCCATTATCGTTGTTATTGGTTTGTTTGATTGTATTATGATGCAAGAAAGAAGAAAATTAAGAAAAGGCGGGTTATTAATTATCAAGAACACAAGAAAAATGTCTAACAATTAGGAATTAAAATGCCATAATAAACAGGGGGATGGATAAAACTCAAACGAATTAGCATCACAACTATTGAGAACATTAACATACAAAAATTGATAAAACCTTTCAAAGGAAGTAAAATTAAGACGTCTGGGTATAGCCAAGGCACTAGCCATTCAAAAGAAATACGTTCAACCCTTGTCCATGCCATGGCCATCATAAACAGGCAATTCTTTTAATAGTGACTATCCCATTGGCTTTCTTAACCAAACTTCCTGTTTATTCATGTTATTTTTAAGTTTTTCTTAGTCCCTCCACTATTTACACTACCATATTTTCATATCCGAATTTTCTGTCTATTTTGTCATTTTATTATTTCTACATATTTAATCCCTGATTGCATAGATTAGATTGGATAATGCGAAAGACAGCGGGCAACGAGGAAACAGGCATAAAATGGACCCACACGAAAACAAACTTGGAGGACCTGGACTTCGCCGATGATATATATCTGATTTCTCACAAGCTGGAAGATATGCAAGTGAAAAGCAACAAGTTGGCAGAAGAAGCATCAAAGATAGGACTTCAGTTGACCATAGAGAAAACAGATGTGGTGATGAAGATTCCTGGCCAACACCACCAACAGCAACAACAACAACAAACAACAACCAGTATAAGTGGGAGGAGTCTGAAAGAAGCAGCTGCATTTACCTACCCACATACCTGGGAAGCATCGTTTCAACTACAGGAGGAATTGACGAGGATATCAAAGCAAGAATCGGAAAAACAAGACAAGCTTTCACTACTCTCAAGTTTGTGTGGAGGTCAACAACACTCAGCATCAAAAATGAGATCCGGATTTTCAACTCCAATGTGAAGTCAGTCAGTGCTACTATACGGATCAGAGACTTGCACTGCGCGTCATAAAGAGCATCTCAAACAAACTACAGACCTTCATTAACAGTTGTCTTCGCTCAATACTCAAGATCAGATGGCCAACCAGAAAAGATCAGCAACAGAGATCTCTGGCGATGAGCAAATCAACCAGGAACCGATTGTGCAGCAAATATGCAGAAGGAAATGGAGATGGATTGGCCATACTCTGAAGAAACCATCAAGTGACATCAATAGACAAGCCTTTACTCGAGTGGAACCCGAAAGGGAAGTCACCCGTCCAAGGGTGACTTGTAGGAGGTCATGTGAAGAGGAGATGAAAGAATGTGGGCAGACGCGGATCCAGGTGAAGACTCTAGCAGAGAACCGAACGCAATGGAGACGCGTGGCTGAAGCCTTATGTTCCTCTAGGAATTAAAGGAAACAATAATAATAATAACCCCTAATTGCACAGTATGTCAATTTTGTCAGAAATGCATTGGTGTGTTTGTTACTCATAGAATTCTACTGGAGTATGGTGAAATCTTGAGCTAGCCACTAGTTTGGTCCGAAGGTTCGATTCCCCAGCAGCTATCGATGTGGCCTATCTTCCTCTCTGAACATAAAGGTATGACATATTATATGATGAAATCTAAGCATTAATAGCACGCCATTTCCGTTTGTTTTAAATCGACTTGACATTTCATGTTGATTAACTATAGTGAATTGAAATGGTCAGTCCTTGTTGACATGTTGGCTTCAAGTAGTATGATAAGATCTAAGTTATTCGGGTTGAAGGTGGTTAGCAGTGGATTCCATTAGGATGGACATTTCCTCCTATTTGGGATTTGTCACTTGGATGTACCTGTAATCCTCTGTAAGTGATGATGTTCCTAATGAATCGTGTACACATCGTTCTAAACGCCAAAGCTCAATCATGTATTGGATAATGCTGTTGCGTTTGAAATGATGGGTGCACAGTTCAAGTATCAGTAAGAAAACCAGTTTCTCACTGGGAATGCAGATAAGCCCAAATGAAGAATCCTAATTAGGACAAAACTCACATCCTAGTGGTTTCCACTGTCAGTCATCTTCAATACAAATAACTTCATATAAATCTTTAGACATTGTACTAATGCTAAGCGCTGGCATTTCAGCGTAAACCGAGTGTTTCGGTCCAAAATAACGAATCAACGGGGAATTTAAAGTTACACAAGAGTTGGCTTTTGTGGCTCTAGTAACTTAAAGGTTACGGCTTTAGTGTTTGAAACGAGTCTCAGCGAGAACATCAGCACTCACTAGGGAATGCAAGTACATCCAACTGATGCGTTCCAAAAAGGAGGAAATAAGACTCTTGTTGGATTCCACTGGCAATCAAAATCAACCTAAAGATGCCACTTCAAATTTATAAATCTGTCGTATAATGCAAATGATTTGAACTGATTCGGCTATGGAAGCTGAGTTTAACCTAGTAAACTGCTAGTGAACTTGACCTCGAATGAGTGAAGTGGGCTATCCCGTGTTTCTAGATCACTTTTGATCCAGCTGGCAAGCACTACTGTTTGACTTGAGTGGTTTGCAACTACTCATATTACTTAGTCAGTAGTATATCTTATCTCGCTTATAGTAAAAGTGACCTTGATACCTATTAGCTCGCTCAATTTCAAATTCATTTCTATCATATGTTGGCCTGCCCCGGTTGACGATTCAACGTCCACTGAACAGACTAATTAATGTCCTATGAAGTGATATACTAAGTTAAAGGGAACTGACAGGTGTTGGTATTAATGAACAGTTGGATTCTGTTCCAGTGGCTGAATGGTGAAAGGAACTCAACTCATAAGCTTAAGGCCCTGGGTTTGATCCACGCTGGGTTCATACCGTTGAAGAGTCTCGAACAAGGACTAAGCAGCTGTGCAGAACACCCTGCTGGTTTTCAGTGGTTCCTCAACAGAAGTCGATCAAATCCCTAATAACAAACGCTTAAAGGAAAAGAAAAACTTAGTCTGACGTTAAAAATTGAAACATTAACTGTGAATGTTAACAGAAACTTAACCACTTTGTCCATGACTTAATCCAGTATCTTATTCCATAAAAAGCCGAGTCCAGTAATCCAAAAGTCAACGGGTTTGATACTGTTATGACTGGGTTTTTATTTGAACTCCAGTCAATACCGCAAAACAAACTGAGTGAATGAACTATAGTTTCCTAACCACTGCGTTAATGATTTACTGGTAGAATGGTTGCCAGTCATGTTTGAGGTCTGAGTTCGATTCTCGAACAAACCATTCCGAAATCTAGACCAACTAGTTGTAGGTTCAGAAAGGAAGGAAAGGAGAGTGCGAGGTTAGCAAGCTCACCCCATAAAAAGGAAACAGTACCATTACTCTTGAAGCTTCAAAGCTAGAAGTTCTATGTTCTGTCTGGAACTCATTCGTATAATTAAAGGCTGCAAGAGGCTTTAACCAATAATTATAAAAAAAACCTAAGAGTACTTGACAGCGGTTTCGTCCTACTTCGAGACTTTTCATCGGTACGCATCGACTGAGGTTCGAAACCAGTACCTTCTGGTTACAAGGCAAGATCGTAGACTATTAAGCCACTGGGATAGGATCCATTGAGGACAAATATTAGCCGACAACCTTCGCTAGTGGTTGCGTTAAGCTATGAATTGGGAGAAGTTGGAATACACGGACCACTGGACTGATGGGTCCTAGTGGCTCAATGGTCTACGATCTCGCCTTGTAACCGGAAGGTCCTTGTTTCAAACTGTGGTGGCAGGTGCCCACTGCCAACGAGTCCGGTACCAGGACGAAATGGCTGTCCAGTACTCCCTGGCTGATTTTCAATGGTTCTTCAACTGATATCAAACCGTGATCACTCTTAGGTATTTATTCAGAAATGCAAATAATAACCCTTTCTTTCTGTTCTTCCAGTGTATATACATTGGCACATTTAGGTATTGCGTTGGATGCAGTTGGAGATACCGTGAAGTGGGTAATCCTTAGTAGGTTCTACTGACTAAGCATTAAGTGTAGTCAGTATTCTAAAACGTTTATTGTTTCAGTGATGTATATTTAAGTATAATTATGTTTTAAATAAACTAGCATGGATACTACCTGTCTAGACCGCGCATTTCGCTTGTTGACACTCATCAACATAAGTTGTATCAGTACTTTCTATTCATTTAATCTTCATAAGTGTATTGATTGAAGGTGAAGCTGGATCTTGACACAAGGCTAGGACTTTACTTAGAATTTGCTTGCCACAATAGGACTACCATTTTAATAGATAGTCTGTACAACAATATTAATATTTGCTTGTCCCAGTGACATGCAGTAAAATTTGTTGTATTTGAATTGGATACGGGAGTCACTGGACAATACTAATTTATTACTGTCCATATGGGTTCTGAGTGGAACATATGGCTTCAGCAACACACCTCTACTTCTTTCCATTCTCTGCGATTCTCTCTAGCTGGCCTCATGATTGCTCAAAGTCTCCAATCTCCTTCCCTCACTGTATCCTCCATATCACCCTCAGCTACACACGCGACTCGTCGTTTCCAATCCAGGTTCTACTCGAGCGATGACCTGGAGCGTGATGTCATTCAACGGTTTCCTCATTGTGTGCTCAGTCCATCCCTATTTCCTCTAATATAATTGTTCGGCAACAGCTTATTGGTTGGTTTCTCCCAGCCAGAGTTTTTTGATGCTGATTCTCTCTGGCCAACTGGCTATTTGATCTTCAGTATCGAGCCATCCAGCAAAGGTTGCAGCTGTTACAAATGTCTTTAACTTGTTAGAAATCATTTTGGTGACACGCAATGTGAGTTTCCGACCTGTATAGAAGAACTCGCTAACCAAACATCGGTGTTGAAAACCCGAACAAAGCTTGTTCTTTAGGCTGAATGGGTGCATCAGATTTCCAAACTGGTTTCAGTTTGATGAAGCCATATCTTGCCTTTCCGATCCTGACTGTCATTCACGTCTTCATCCGTTCTGTCGCCTGTAGTTGAAACGATGCTCCCTCGCCAGATAAGTGAAGGAAGTAACCTCTGTTAAATCTCTCCCACTGATGGTGATTGGTGCTGGTTGCTGTCGCTGTTAGTTGGTTGGTTGGTTATCTTCATCACCACTGTCTCCACCTTCTCAATATTCACGTGGAGTCTTGTCTTCAATTTCTGCTAGCTTCTTCACCCACTTTGTTGGTAACCGCCTGCCTCTAAGTTTTCGAGTTTGTATGATATTAAACATAAACCATCCACACGCGAAATCCAGATCTTCTAGAGTCTTCTAATTGGTCAGTCCAGCATCTTCCTGTCTTCTCACTCTCCTCACACAGTCTGACGCATAATCCAGTCCACCATAATTAAGAATATCATCCACAGTAATAATAGACAGGCAGCCAGCTTGTCTTACTCGCTTATTCACTTCGAAAGCTTCACTCAGTTTTCCGTTGTAGACCAACCACCTGACACTTGGTATTTCCATATTTTACTAAAAGCCTAGTCTAACTGACTGGTTATATAATCAATCACTGGTGTGTACCAATTCTACTCAACATGCTTCTACTCTAACGTAATAAAACAAAATTAACATCAGACTTGGAAACTATTGTAAAATTCTCTTCCACAATAAAATCTAGTATAATAATTGTAACATTTCTAATATTGCTAGTAATAAATGATAAATAATATTAATAATAATTGAATAAATGCATAAATATATGTAAAACAGAGAAAAACCAAAAAAATTCGTTACAATGTTTCCCAGGGAATAGAACACGATTGCTAAGCATTTCAGCCATAATACAACCAATTGACCAGATATCAATTGCTTTCGTGTACAATTTTGACGTTAACATTATCTCTGGTGCACGATACCAACGTGTAGCCACATATTCTGTCAGTGTACCTGACTGTTCTGATTCTGGGTCTGCTATACGCGCCAATCCAAAATCGCATATCTGTTTCGTTGTTTTGCAAACGCCAGGGAGTATGGGATGGTTGGTGTGCATTGGGGAGGGGGATGGGAGAGAGGAAAATAAAAAAAAACGAGAAGCAATGAAAAAGAAGTTTTTGGAAGTTTTTCAGGTTAGAAACAAATTGCAATTATATATTTGAACACAGGGGATTACACACACACGTGGATAACACACTTTTCCAAAATTAGGTAAATAATTGTCAGGGGAAAAATATATTTTATTTTGGAACATTTTGTAATAAAATTAAACCCTTGATTGGTAATAAAATTTAGTCTACACTAACATGGCGAAAAATGTCTAGAAATATATAACATTGCTTATGTCCTGGTGACTGACTGATTAATGTGTGCATACACTGCAGGCCTGCAGGAGGTCAGCTGTCAGCCAGAATAGCTTAATGCTAGAGTCTCTGACTGCATAGAAAGGACACATAATTGCCTTTCTTTCTGGAAAGTGACAACAGACCCGAAACTGAGATCCAAGACATTGCCAATCGCCTTAAACAGTTTAACATAAGTTGAGAGTGTACAACGATGATGAGCTACCTAGCTTACTGGTGGCCATATTGTATAGATATGATGGAGAAGATTTGTAGCTCAGATGGATGATTTAGATGTGGTTGTGTTCTCTGAGCTGGATAGTTGGATAAAACTCACAACTTAATAAACAACGTCTTCAACGACATCAAATTCACAAGAGAAGAGGAATCCGAGAACAAAATCCAATTTTTGGACGTCTTAGTCAAGCGAACAACCACGGGGGAATTAGAAACCCAAGTTTATAGAAAATCAATTCACACAGACCGAATACTGAATTACAACAGCAACAATCCAATAACACACAAAAGGAATTGCATACAAACACTGTTCAAGAGGGCCAGGACTCATTGCAGCACTCCAACCTTAAAAAAAAATTCAAGAAAGATATTTCATGGACGTCTACCGAAAGAATGGATATCCAAGGAATTTCATCAAAAGACATATACTCCCAAGTCAACCTATCAAGTCAAAGGCCCCCAAGGAAAACACAAAGACAATCGCCCTACCATATATAAAGGATATATCAGAAATCACTGCAAGACTCGTTAAACCTTTAGGAATTGACGTCGTATACAAACCAACAAAGTTACTTCACTCAGCCAGCTCTGTGTCAACCAAAATACTCAACAGCGAAAGAAGATAAACCAACATCATCTACAAAATAAATTGTAACGATTGCGAAAATCACTACATTGGCCAAAGTGGACGTCCCCTTCGTCTTCGTATCCACGAACATAAGCTAGCCGTCAAAAGACATGACATCCACTCTCCCATATTATTACATACAGACAACCACGGGCATCAATTCGATTGGGACAATGTTCAAATATTAGACAGTGGAAACATCAAGAATGCTAGAGAATTTTTAGAAGCTTGGCATTCCGGTGAATCATCAATCAATAGACACATCGAAATTGACAAAACTTATCAACCGATAAGAAAGAAACCTCACACACAAAGGGTCAAAGTTCAAGTCAAAGAAACAATCAGTTCCAATACAAGTAGCCTAGAAGGTGTGAAAACACACAAAAACAATCAATCACGTCCAAGGTCACCGGGAGAGACGATCAATAAACTCGTGGAGAAATCTAAAAGCTCACTTCAAATTGAAGTATGCGCTGAAGATGTCACCTAGTAGGGTGATGAAAGCTTCGCAAATTAACTATCCAGCTCAGAGAACACAACCACATAAAAAAACCATATTGTATATGTGACTGACAGAGTTATGTCTTGAACGACGTCTAGTGACCAATGAGTGTATTCACTGTGGTCCTACAAATGGTCAGTCGTAAAACCGAAAATATCAGTGATATATCAGTTTGAAGGTTGATGAAAATCCCCAGAAGACTTCAGATGCCTTCGCTTGTTTGATACTGAAGATCTGATGGCCAGTCAGAAAGGCTAACCAACTCTTGGAACGAATCAAACAAGAACCTGTTGCTCAACAAATATCTCGAAGGAAAAATGGAGAAGGAGATAGCCACATGCTGAAAATAGTGTTGAATGACATTGCTCTCCAGGTGAGTGGGGGAGATCCCAATGGAAGACAGCAAGGGCTTTATGGAGGAGATGAGAGTCTATAGGGATCAATCGACGAGGCTGTGAATTTACATCGACTGAGATGGTTAGGACATGTGTTACGCATGCATCACTAGTCATCGGCTTCCTCGACGGGTAATGTTAGCTGACATTGGGTCAGGCTGGAAAAGAGGTAGCAGCGGTCAAACCAAAACATGGCACCAGTCATTGAAATCCACAATAGTTATCTTAAGCCACGTAGGAAGGTGTAAACCTCCTGGTTGGGGTCCTCTTGACTGTAAAAACCAATGAAGGCTGGAGACAATCGGTAATATGGCTCAAAGTGATCGTTCTCAATGGCTGGCGCAGATGCATCCACTCCTTGTGACTCATGATTTCCAATGAAACTATATTGTTCTTCGATATTACTATTCTTTTTGTCTCATATCCCTGTTTACTGTCTCTATTTTGCATTTCTTCTACTTTCTTCTGTTGCTTTTTGCGCTACAAGGAGGGAGTGTGGCGACTTGAACTGCTGCACATCGGTGCAAAGTTCTATGTCGAAAGCAGACAGACAGATAGGCATTTGCGTAGGCATTTCCGCCAAAGAGGATTGCAGAAGACAGGATGAAATGGAGATGTACAGTTAAAACCCTGTGTTTCGCTCGGGACTTAAGTGAGTAATAATAAATACTAATATAAGCCTTGTTGAATAGTACTAATAAGCACAAAAGCTGGATCAAGTGGAGGTTCTTATCGGTTGCCTTCAACCATCTAGCACAAAATAGGTGTATTTTTTAATTCTTTTGATTTCTGGTTGGAATATAGGGCTTCAAGTTTGAGCGTTGAATTTTCAATACCAGTGTTGGTGTTCTCTTTTACGGTGACAAGTTGCTAGCCTCCCGCGCAACCTTCCCTCCTCACTGAGCTTACTGCAAACTAGGCGAGGCTTAGTAATGCACTGACCGGCAGTCGAAACCCGGCCCTCATGCTTGGATGGTGAGCACGCTACCACTGAACCGTAGACACACATTAATGAACATATAGTGGGAGGATGGAGACGAGGTTAATGACAGACATAAATACCTTAATCTCTCAGAAATTCCGATTTGCTGCCAGCTTATGCTTACTAATTTTGTCCCAGAATTAATAATCACGAATAACGAGAGTAAGAATTAAGAAATATCCCATTATCAGTAATACTTTGCTGTAAAATACACCTGATATGAATGGTCGGTATCAAAGAGATGCATTATAGACCAATGAGGGGATAAATTAAGTAGCCTATGGTGTGAATCCAGATTTTTAATTTCATTTTCACCACTTACAGTCTTTTATCAACATTAACCTTATCGCCCCAGAGAGGATTAGCAACACGGAAACTCTGCCAGGCAAAGAATCAACCAAGATTCTATCACCTCAAGCGACTTTCGACTGATATTACACGACAAACAGGCTCTCAAGTTGAACCAGAATAGGAAAGCGTTACAATTGTTAATACACTTGGTAGTTTGCGCTGACGAACTTCCTACCTAGTCGATTCGCCAGCCTACTGTTCTGATCACTATTAGCAACAACAATACCGATAATAACTACACCGAACCCACAACACAAGAAGACAGATCGTTGACATGGAGAGCTTTTACTGTCTTAAATCAACAGCCCAATAAGGGATTACATCAGTCGCTTAGATATATTAAAAGTCAATCTGAACGAAGAATATTCCTTTCAATACATCCTTCTCCACTTCAGGTTCTTACAATTATGAAATATGCAATATTTGTTGTCGTTACAATAATGACAGCCAGTTATGCATGCGATGGATACATTTCCTTTCAACGTAGAATAACAGATTAGTAGTTATGGAGTGCCAAAATAAATAGTCGTATTTGTGTGACAAACGTGTCAACACAGCTTTCAGGGTTATATACCGAATTCCAAAGTCGTTATCACGTACAGTTCGCTTACGTCTCCTACACATAGCTGAAGCTGTTGCAATAAGATTGACTGAACCGGAACTTTGTATCCAAAAAGAACACGTCCAGACGCTGTTCCTACGGTGGCCAAACTTGGATTGGTGATTCTTCTTCTCACGAAGAGTAATTCGTCCCCTTAACCATCTGGGTTTTTTTTCCTTCGCTTATTAATACAATTATTATTATTCGTCATAATTTATGCCCTTCATGCAAACATTCTCTCAATACTATCGAATTTTCCATTTATACTATCCGGACTTATTATTAGTGATATTACTTCTTTTCTCAATATATACCTCCACCTGTTTCATTTCACACATTTGTTATTTCATTATGAACCTCTCATTGCAGTTCTACTATCTCCTGTTTAACACAGACCACTTTGTACTAGCCACTGCACTCACCTGACACCTTTTATAACCTTGAACTGACTTGTCAATTTGCCTACCCCACACTCTACGAATGAATCTATTATGACGACTCATCACCACCATTGTCTCCCATTTCACCGACATATTTTGTAATCGATTTCAGTCAGCCTAGCATGACGTTTGTCACACAAATACGACTATTCATTTTGACACCCCATAACTACTAATCTTTTATTCTACGTTGAAAAGAAATGTATCCGCAGCATGCATAACTGGCTATCATTATTGTAACAACAACAAATATTGCTTATTTTATAGTTGTAAGAACCTGAAGTGGAGAAGGATGTATTGAAAAGAATATTCTTCGTTCATATTGACTTTTAATTCATGCTATATGGAAATATTTCACACTATTAAAGCTTAGATATATGCTTTAAATGACCTTGAAAAACACTAATTATATTGATAGGTTAAGACAGTCAACAACCAATTGGGTTTCAAGGTCATAAGTGGAGGGGAGGAGGGAAATACAAACAGCACTGTCCTGCAAAGACAAATGTAGTATTACAGAAAAATAA